TATCATTTTTCGTTATTACAAGTATTACTATCGTTATTGTAGTTTTAATTATAAATGCTGACTTAGGCGATTAACCTCGATAAGATACAATTTATTATTTAGTTTTATAAAAGCAAACAACAGCTTTCTTTTTCAGATTGACTATATGTGTCCAGTGTTTGTTAAAACAACACTCATAAAATTTATGCAAAAGAGGTTGGCTCGTTTTTATTTGTAATTTTGAGGCATGTTTAAAGGTACTAGTCGTTATTTTTATTAAATATTTTTTAACGTTCTTATGATATCGTTGTGGACAGTAAATGAAATAGCTTTAGGTATTTTTTGTTTGTTATATATTTTTGCTCTTTAGTAGGTACTTGATGGACAATTTTTTTTTATTACCACCAAATCGACTTCAAATGGATGCGTTAACGCAAATAACAAAAATCAACTCTGGCAAATTATACACAAAAAACATTGTTCTCTAAATGTATACTTTTATTTAAAATTCAACCGCTAGATAGCAGTTCAGTATAGCAAAATATTTAATGTAACTGTTATAATTTTTTTTTAAATGCACCCCATCTATCTGTTTTATCTGGCAATTATTTTTCATACTATGTATCCGACTTTTTTCAAATGAAAATATTTTTTTTTCTCCAAAAAGTCACAAATATTTGTATAAAATTAACCGATGCAAAATCTTGGGAATGAAACAAAAAAACAGTCTTGTCTATCAAAATTGTAGTACACTGAAGAATTTAGAGAAAATATATTCTTAACATGGTCAAATAAGCATCAGGGATAGTATTTTTTTTTTTTTTTTTGCAATCCAAAATTATCAAAAAAGGCATCATTTTACAAAAAAATCCTTTGAAAATATAGCCATGGAGTACTTTTAAATTTAAGAATAGATTTTTTTTTTGGCTGTATTCTTCGAAATATTAAAAAAGAAATCAAAATTCATCATATATTCTAGTTTGGAAACGAAGTAAGCAATAAACGAATTATATAAGAGGAAAATTGTGGCGACATTAAAATTAATTGTAAGTAAGTACAAAGATAACAATCTGAAATTTGTAAATTATTAATAATAGGCAAACAGTTTTAAAGTTTCAAATTATTTTGTTATGTGTTTTACACGAATGACAAATAAAATAATACGTCCTACTAGTTTCTTATTAACTGGCATTAAACTATGATATAAAAACTAAAACATTATAGAAAATTATTATGACCTGTTTTACTACAGTTTTGAAAACGACACAAATTGAGATTTCATATTGTTTCGCACTTTCAGCATAAATAAATTCAACCCGTACAATCTGTGGTGGTAGAAAAAATATTGTTTAAATCTTCACAGTTTTATCAGTAAGCATATTTTATTATAATTTAGGGTCGTTCAATTAAGTGGACACAAACAGTAACTTATCGCAATTATCACAATAATCAATTATTATTTAAATCAAAACATGATTTGAATATTGGAACTGTGTAAAAACATTTTTTAAACATTAAATTTCGAGTCAATATGTCAATGAATTCATTTTTAAAGTTTTTTTTGAAAACATGTTTGTATAGTTTTGAAAATATATGTTTGGGGTAATATGTTTTCAAATGTAAGTATAAAAATCATGATTACAATTCATATTTTACCAGAAGTGTTTGTAAAACAAAATTTAAAACGCATAAAGACACAAATTGGTTTAACTTTTGTTTTGGCTCTATCTAGTAAGTTGTTAAACCACCAATTGTTATTAATCACAAAAATTAAATATACAGAGTGATCATTTTTTCTTGAACCACTCAAGACAATCATCCTGTATTTCGTAAAAAAATACCAGACAATAGAATTTGGCCTCATGATTATGTTTTTTTACCAGTTAAACGACCATTTTTAAGGGACCTAATCTCAATGGGCATACATAGTATAGCTCTATCCTGTTCATTATAATTTTATCATCAAAATAGATATTTCAAAATTTTTTTGTAAATACCAGTTATAAAATATCATAGTTGAAATAAATTATATTATTGTAGGCGTATTACAATTTTGATGGTATAAAGAAAGGTGAACTAAGTCATTGCAATATTGACTTGTTTGACATAAGTTCTAGTTGAGCAGCTTAAAATTTAACGATAGTAATTACTTAAGAGGAACCGAAAGCGTCAATTTTTTTACAAATAAAGACTAAAACGCAAAGTCGCTTTCCGAAGTGTCTACCGAACAGTTTTTTACAATTTTTTATTAATATTTAATGACCAAAGTGTGTACAACAGTAATAATATTCGAGAATATTTTTAATAACAGTATTTAGAGAACCGTCGGTAACTTTTTTTTTAACATGTACAAATACCTTTTTTTCAATTTTATAATATAGGTACTAAATTATTTTTCCACATACCTACTACTCATAAAAAGCTGATGCATAAGATTGTAATAATATTGCTGACATTTTTGACGCTACACATGTTTGCGTTTCTATAAAAGTATGGTATTATTATTTTTTTTTTACATTGTACACATAACCGTAGGAGAGCCAAAGTTTTATTTCAACGTAAGTTATAATCGAATAAGGTTTTAATACCATTAGAAGAAAGCGATTTTCGCAAAAAAACACTTACAATATTCTAAAATATTCTCTTTAAACGAAGAAATTATAACAACCGGTGTGATTTCGCGTACATACTTGGAATGTATACTCAAGATTATTCGCCCAACTTAAAGCTATATATTTTACCTACTCATATTAATGTTGGAATGCTATAGCAAATCAAATTTGAGCTGATTAGATGAAAACGATAATTTATTTATTTGAGCTCAGAATTCTCTAAATTCCATATTAGTTTATTGACCGTTCGTGATTAATTATGTGTCCACACTTTCATTATTTTTGTGCTGTCTGTGAGATAATTGATGATAAATTAGTTAACGAATAGTCATTTTTGGCCTGCCTAAAGTCCAATAATTGTAGAAACTAACAAAATTATGATTGGACTGAAAGAGCTTGTAGTGACAATAAAAATTGTTTTACTTGTGCTTTTTCGTTGGATTTGTTTGATTATAGAATAGGGTAACGATATTAAGAAAACCTATCCTAAAATGTATAAAACCTATCCTGAAGGATAAAATGTATGCGATTCGTTTTTGAAACTTAAAATAAAAGCAGACGGGCAGAAATGAACGGAGAAAGACTATAAATCAATCTGAGGATTGATAACAAAAGAAGAAGAAGATGTAGAGGCATTCGTATAATATTTTGGCGAAGCTAAGAGACCACTGTGACCATTTGCGGTATTAAACGCAGGCAGTGACCGATGACAATAATAATATATTATAATCGACACAAAAGATACAGGCCAGCGTTGTTGGTCCGCGTCGTTATGACCGAACATAATAATATAATAACGATAATGACAATAATGACCGTACACATTGCAGGCTCCTCGGCCGAAAAGGGCGTCCGCAAAGAGACTTGGACTGGCTGGGGTCGGTCGCCTCTCTGGTGGTGTGTATGCAATACAGGGTGATCGATTTGACGATGAACACTGTATTACACTACATAAGTGTCTTGCAGCAAGTTCAGCGCTAGAGAAGCTGTTCAAATCATCCTAAACAACTTGTTCGGGCTCTAAGAAAATGTCAGCAACCAAGCAGAAACAGCCAATTCCGACGGGGCTTTCAGAGTCTTTAAAAGGTCTGGACTTCTAACTTTTAGACGAATGTATTCCAACCTTTTATGGCAATCGCTGCCACTCTTCTCGTTGCCTTTCCCTCTTCTCCGCGGGCCTGTGTGCTACGTTAAATCGACCACCCTGTACAATAATATATGGTCGTTGCGAATTCGGCGAATTGCGGGAAACGGGGTAATGTGCATGTCGACCGGCGGTCAACGGACGTGACAATGGACCGAGCCGGAGGACAATGATGAACCTCGTGCCCGGGCAACGTGCGGGATAGGTCTTTTGCCTATTGTCCGGCAAACGGATAAGTACATCTCTCACTCTCACTCTATCTCTCTCAGTCCTTCCCCGGTCGGCTGCCCCTTCACTGACCGGCCACTGTTACCCAACAAAAACGCCGACATCTGCGCAAAAACCCCTTTGGACCGACAAACGCGGAAACGGTCAACCCGTTTGCACCATCTGCCCGGCTGTGCGGTGTTCAAGAAAACACCGAAATTCTTAACTCCTGTCCCTCCTGTGACAATCGACGGTACCGTGACAATGCACCGGGATTCGTCGCCAATTCATTTTATCGCCATTCAATGCAACGACCTATCCGCATAGCCACCTAACCGAGAAAGTAATTTTTTATCATGTAATAGCCGAGCCCGGTGTCCGAATTTCTGGCATCAACAGCTATTACTGTAATGCAATTCAAATTTTTACAACATGGTCGAACTGGTAGTTTTGAGTATTTGAAAAAAAATTATTGTCGATGCTTCGAAAAAACGTTTTTCACAAATTCTGTCATCTAGAATGACAGAAAAACCCCACACAAGTAGATAAAAAAAAATCTATGTAAAAAGCTAAGACTTTTATTTTCTGTTAACCGTACGGGATTGATTAAAAAATGGATCACATTACAATGTGTATTATCCAACAGATAATTATAGTATTGGTTTAATAATTGATTGGCATGACAATGTTTAGCATTCGAAATCTAAGGTAGAATGAGTTGTGCAGACGGATAAAAACAATTAAGTTTTTTTTTTATTGCATCAAGTTAATTGATTAAGTAATATTAGCTTTACATTAATCATTCAAATGGATATTATAAAATTATTTTTAGCACGTAGTTAATTTATAACAATTTTTTTTTAATTTATAAAGTAATAATGGTAGTTGATTTCATCATAATACGCCTTGTAATATTATTCAACTAAATGGCTTATAAAACAATAAGTCTCCTATAATGCCTCTCATATTTGTACACTGTTTTTTTTTTTTTTTAATCGATTGTGAAAAGAACACTGGTGTTATTACACGTAGCCGTTTAGTAAGTTCACAGACGATCTAGTTAAGAGTACCACCACGATGAAACTCCGTCTTGCCTTCTTCTTAATAATTTCCAGTTACACTTTAACGCACCGTGTCGCGTGTCACGATGGTGTGTACAAACTTGCCGAGACGAATTCAAAAGTAGACGTCAAGTCGATCGTGCCTGAAAGATTTATGCAAAGTGTAGATGCTTACGTCAGACGGGAAGGGCATCAACCCGTCAGAGGAACAAAGATAAACCCAAAAAGAAACCCGGGACTCTTCAAACTGATCGTCTCCAAAGTACTGGACGAAACGATGAGAGTTCTCGACAAATTCACCGTCCTGGTAGTGGCGATGGTCGAAAGAAACAAGACCAGGCCGTCGCTAGAGTTCGTTTTGGATTATATTGAACTTAGAATTTCCAAGTTGAGTGGCTGTTTGGAATTTCTGTTCGACAACGGAGCCAACGTGACGGATGCGTTGACCGGGTAATATAAACCACTTGCAATTTACTTAAGTGTTGTTGGTGAAAGTATTTAGACATTTATTTGTCATACTTCCATACTAATATTCAATATAATTGCATCAAAACGTACTATTTTCCACCAATAGTCGATTTTGCTTTGATCGTTGGAAATAGTGTGGTTTGACTGTAATTTTTCCAACATTCGATTTCGAAAAATATTAGATTTTTGATTTTTATTATATGATTTAAGCTAAATAAGTTTAAATATATCAACACTAAATTAAGGTAAAAACACTTTTTTTTTATTAAAATGTATTGTGAAAAAAAATTTTGAAATTCAAGTAACTTATACAAATCTATAATATTATTTAGTATCTACTAATTTTCCTTTTCCATATCGAATCCGTAGAAAATAGTACGTTTTGATTCTATGAGTAAATAGTTCGTTTTCTAAACATTTAAATTTTGCCAATAGTACGTTTTGCATTGTCGTCCCACGATTTTGAAACTTAGAAAATTTGGATTTTTGTGTTTAATGACACAGCTGTACGCCTCCTGGTACTGGCCCCATGTAGGTGTCTTCAATTTTGGTTTCATACAGTAGACAATATAATATCGCGTTGGATTATAAATTACATTTTTCATTTCGGTTAATCTGAATTCAAATAAATTGCATTTTTTTTTACAAAAAATCAAAAGTAAGAAAAACCGCATTCTTGTTATGTTGATGAAAAAGTTTTCAAACAAAATTGACATTTTGATTTAAATAAAAATTTGAGATTTTTCTTCTGAACGTATTACTACAACTATGATATACAACTGTTATGCACTGAATTATTGCAAATGTTGCATGTTACATGAAAATGTTTTACCGTTCACATGAATAATTATTAAATCCTAAACATTTTCTTTACAGGTATATTTTCTACAGTGGTTTCAAATATCATTTGTTCAAAACCTACAACGGGGGATATTACACTTACCAGAACATTACTGAAATGATGTTGGTTCGAATGGACCAGCAACAATGGCTGATGTACTTGCAACGAGTGCCGACAGTGGAAACGTACCAAGACTTATACACGGATGTGGAAGAGTCCTTGGAAGACATTTATAAAGTTTACCGACAGACGGTTGGAAATTCCACCGAGTGGTTGTCGCCCCAGAGTTTAAAGTGGACAAAATTATTAGAATCTAACACGAGTTTCGCAAATCTTTTTAAAGAACTTCCAGTCGAAGACAATGAAAGTGTATACGATCAATATTTACAAATTGCGCGTGAGTTCGATTCGGTGAAAGTGATGGATTTTTATGTTAATATTGGAATAGCGCTGAACGGTATCATCATGGAAACGGCCACCGACATGATGAAAGCGTTTTTTAATCTCATATTGCGACTCATCGCAGACTTTTCAAACAGAGACAACAGCTTTAGACAGATCAGCCTAGCTATCGAATGCGTAGAAAATTTCTTAAAGTCGGTACATTATTTCCATAATTGGATGTCTTACAGTAAACGACTTAAGAGTTCAGAAACATTAGAAAGTACCCCGGAAGTTCAAGTGCTACAGGAATACGTTAACTATTGTAAGACATACAATTCAATCAACTTCCCCAACACAGTGGCGGAGTTTTTACAAGTATTCAAGACAATTTACGGAAAGCATTTTCCAGGTATCGAACTCGATACGGCAAGGATTACCACCAAGTTGATGCAAGGTTCCATCACTCAAATGAATATCATCGACAACATGGTGATGCATATGGAAGTAATGACAAAGCTGCTTGAAGAAACGTCTGGTCGTTTTAGATAAATAGGATCCGTACGTTTGTTTAAAAACAGCTTGATGGTCTATTTTTAGATAAAAAAGGACCATCGATATATTAAAATAAATACAATGTTCAGTTTTTATTTAGATTTTATCTTATTAGTAATTAGTTAAATTGAAATACATGTATAAACTCTTTTTCCCCATTTAACATAAAATAATTTGCAACATATATTTTCACACTAATTTCTCCTTAACTTGTTAATCGTTCAATATTCTGTAAACAGTAAAATTAATTATTTAATATTCCTATGTCTGACCATGTATAAGTATTAAATAAAAACGCAGAAAAATTGTAGTCAAACATGTAATATCTTTGCTGTTCTCAATTCTTTTAAAAGTAAATATCATTGTATGATCTGGTTCAAAATATTAAGCCGAAGGAAATTCAGTTAAGTTTTCCTTTTTAAATTAATCCACTTCACATCTCATACTGAATTATGAATGAAAAGTTTGTACCGTTGTCGAGAGCGTTATTACTAAAGAGTATAATGCATTTTTCGTTCTCAAATCCGGTCTGGAACAAAATAGTTCATTTTCTCTCTAATTATCCTTCCTGTAAGTGTTGGACAAAACGATACCGCACTATAACTTTGCAGCTTGTATGACAGTTGTTAATTAATTTTTATAATAACGAAACAACTTTAACGTTATCAGAGTGTTTCTAAACTTTCAAAGATAAATCCTAAATAACAGTTTATAGAGTTGCTTGAAGATGCGAGAGTAAGGTAAGTGTGGGGGATCTTGGCGTAACCATACACATTTATGTAAATCTGTTTAATGCCTGTCCATTACGGTTAAGCCAGTAAAACCTAAAAATCATAAATATAACAATCATTTGACTAAATTTTCTAATATTAAAAAAAACTGTAGTCCTCATTTTTCGCCCCGTTCAATATGTTATGGACACATATGAGCCCATCTCATGACAAATTTTCTACTAAAAGGTTTTGAATTTATGGCTAAAAAACACAGGAAACAATAAAATCTTGAATAGATTAAATAGTTAAAATTTAAATTTTAAACCACTACCGTTAATGGTGTGCTTTTATATAAAAGATATTCCTTATGGATATCGACTCAATCCTTCTTAGCTTCACATATCAGTTACAATGTATTCCGAAAAAATGAAAAATGCCAAACGAAAGAGCACGTGACTTAACCAACAGATACAATTTAATGCTGATGCCTTACATATAATTATTTTATATTCCTATGTCTGACCATGGATGAATATAAAATAAAAATTCAGATAAATTGTATTAAAATAGGTATGTAATAATATCTTTGCTACTCTTAACTTTTTTCAAAAGTAAATATTATAGTATGGTCTGTTTCATAAAAAATCTAAAAGGAATTCTCAGACAAATTTTCGTTTTTAACTTAATCCTCTTTACATCTAATACTGAATTATGATATAAAAAAAAGTTCATACAATTTCCAAGAGCATTTGCTGTTCCTAAACCCGGTCTGGAACTAAACTGATGCTTGAAAAGGAGTCAAATTTTTCTTATAAATACTGCAAGCCTAAGTTTTTCAGGAAAAATATGTATGTCAGAAGGCTTATAATACTGTCTACCGCAAGTTTTACAACCTTAACCGAGACACAATTAATTTCCACAGCAGTATCATCTTTAAAGTTATATAATATAATCTAAGAAACATAAGATTCTTTGATTTTATCATTAAAAAAACTAGATTCTCACCAATAGTTTTGTAAAAAATGTATTAAATATTTTAGACATAATTTCATTTTTGGACATTAATAATATTATATTTTACTTAAATTGTTCTAACCGTATCATTCCTATCTAAAAACTCTCTGATTAATTTCCATGTGAATTTTGGACTAAACGATACCTTGTTAAATTGGTTTGTTTATTTGTATAATAAATTATCTTTGCAGCTCGTAAAATAGTTTCAACCTATTTTTATAGTACTTATAATACGAAAATAGTTTTAATATTATCAGGATGTTTTTTAACTCTCAAAGTTTATTGTTTGATTAGTGTGTACCGAGCAAAGCAGGCCAGCCGTCATCCACTCTTTAAATTTGTCACTTATAGAGTTTATAAATCTTGTTTTTATTGATATAATAACAAATGTATTAACTTTGTCAAGAGAAATATTTATACTGTTATTTACACCATTACAAGTATAAACTTCAGTCCACAACTCTTTTTTAAGTAACTCTTTTTGAATCAATAAAAAATTTTGATTATTATAGTAAATTATTTAGAAACTATTATTTAATCATAGTTTAATTTGTTTAACTTCAGTTACCAAAACCGTCGAGAGTAATCTGTAGTATTAGTTTGTATGACATCCGCTCAGCTAAGTTAAAAAGTATAAGTTATATGAAAGTTTCCTTTGATTTAATGAAATAAACCAAAAGAAACTATTCACTTTTGAAAAAATTGAGAACAGAAATGACATTAAAATATATTTTATCATCATTTTTTGGTGTTTTTATTTAATATTTATAGTGAAGATATTACATAATTACTTTTACTGTTTGAAGAATATTAAACGATTAACAAGTTGAGAAACTAGTTAACAATGCATGTTTAAAATTATTTAAATTGAAAAAAATAAATTGTATATAATTGTGTATTGAAATCTTAATAGAAACTAGAAATTGTATTAAATTAATTTTTTTGGGTTGATGTGTCGTCGAGCAGCACACCGATAGCCTTCTCAATTTTCTCCATTTTACCGATGAGACTTATTTGAGTGCTGCCATCTTCACTTAGTGTTTTAGTAATCGTTGACAAATCAAGTACGATACCCGGAACATGCTTTTTGAAACTTTTTTCTAATTGCTCTAAAAATGGTGCCACAGTGTTGGGGAAGGTTGTTGGATCGTATTTCTTGCAATAGTTAATGAAATCCTCTAGCACTTTAATTATCGGGCTGCTGAGTAATTGTGTAGAACTCTTAAGTCGTTTACCGTAAGTCATCCGTTTTTCGTAACAAATTACCGACTTTAAGAAAGAGTCTACGAAATGGTAAGCTAGGCCAAGCTGTGTTAAACTGTTGTCTCTGGTTGAAACGTCTACGTCGAGTCGCAATATTAGATTCAACAACGAATTCTTCATGTCGATTGCCATTTGGAAGACAACGTTGTCCAGCGACTTTCCTACTTTAACATAAAAATCCATCACTTTTACCGAATTGAATTCACGCACGACTTCTAAATATTGATTATACGGATTTTCATTGTCAATAACTGTAACCTTGAAATAATCTACGACCATCGAGTTGGATTCAAATAAGTATCTCCATTTCAAACACTGGGGCGACAACCACTCATTTGATTTTTCATGCAGCTGCTGGTAAGTTTTAGAAATGTCTTCTAAGGACTGTTCTACTTCCGTGTATAGCTGCTGGTACGTTTCCTCTGCCGGCACTCGTTGCAAGTAATCCAGCCATTGTTGCTTCTTGATTCGAAAAAACATAACATTACCGATATTGTTGTAAGTGTAATATTCCCCGTAGTAGGATTTGAAGATATATTTGAAATCGCTGTAGAATATATAACTGTAAACAAAATATGTACTATTTAATACTTATTATCGTAGACAATAAAACATTTTCTTATTCAAATTATTCGTGTCACGTTTATAATTTGTTGCCCGATTATAATTGTAGCGGGTACTTTTGGAAGTTATGCTTTTTTATTATTGTAGTTAGACAACTTAACAAAATCTCAAATTGTAAATTAAATCAAAAATTTTAATTTGAGATCGGATAAAGGTGAAGGTTTTATGCACAATGATTTTTAACATTTATGAGTTATTGCCCATTGGTTTTTGTAGTCAGTACATCTAACAGGTATGACATATTATGGTAATAGTAATACGAAGAGAAAAATTCAATTTTAATTTATATCCAAAAAAAATGTGAATGAATTATGTATTTTTAAAATTTTCCATTTATTATCAATAACTTGCAAATTTCGAAATGCATTATCAGGAACATTGTTTTTTGTTATTACTTTGAATTAAAACAAAAAACATATGTACTCGAATTGCCAACGTTTATTTCTCAGTAACCACATTGAAACATTTAACTAATAATCTAACGTGTTATTATATTATATAAAACCAAGATGTTTGATACCAATTGGTTGCCTGCGTAGTGCCAAAACAAAGGAGGCCAACATCTGTGTTAATAAACACTATATTCAAAATCAGGCCCGCGTTAGTAAATTCAAAGTGATTTATTTACCCGGTCAACACATCCGTCACGTCGGCTGCGTTGTCGAACAGAAAATCTAAACAGCCAGACAACTTGAAAATATTTTGGTCAATATAATCTATGACGAATTCTAGTGACGTGGCAGTCTTGTTTTTTTCGATCATCGCCACTACTAAGACGGTGAATTTGTCGAGTAGTTTCAACGTTTCGTCCAGTATTTGGGAGACGATCAGTTTGAATATTTGCCCGTTTTCGTTAGGATTTATCTGTTCTCCTTTGACGGTTTGATGCCCACTCTGTTTGACGTAATCATCCACACTGTCCGTAAAACATGCAGGCACTATCGACTCGACGTCCACATTTGAACTCGTCTCCGGAATTTTATACACACCCACGTTACACGTGACATGGTACATTAAAGTACAACTGGAAATTACCAAAAAGGCAAGACGTAGTTTCATCATCGTGAGACTTTTTACTTGATACTGTGCGAACTTCCTAAGCGGCTTTGTGTAATAACATCCCACGAGTTTTTTGTTTTAGTGGAAAAGACTTGCTGTACAAATATTATGTAGGTAAGGCACTGAATCTGTTTTTTTGGGTTATGTATTATTTTACTTAACCTAACCTGATTACATTCTATCGCTATTGTTAAATAAATAACAGTGTGCACTAGCAATCCCAATCCATAAGTTGTTCATGCTATATTTAAAATCAGGTATATTCCCAAAAGTGTGGAAACAAAGTTTTGTCACTCCAATTCGGAAAGCTGGAGCCAGAGCTGCAATAACTAATTTTCGTCCAATTGCTAAACTCAGTTCCCTACCTAAATTCTTTGAAAAACTAGTTGAGCATATATTACCAATACATTTTAAACATATCTTCATTGACAATCAACATAGTTTTAGAAAATCGAAATCCATTGAAAGTATCTTCTACTCACATCTAGTAACTCTGACTGTAATGGTAACCAAGTTGATGTCATTTATCCTATTCCCTTTTGACATTTTTAATATTTATTAATGATATTAAAACAGTTTTTAAGAATTGTAATTTTTTTAGTGAGGTTAAAGACCTTGGTATAATCTTATCGTCTGACTTGCATTTTAATCGTCATATAGATGCAATCTGTACAAGAGAAGTCAGCAACATAGGTCTCATTAAACAGAGCTATGCTGATATGAACTATGCGTGTTTTAGAATTCTCTATTTTGCTGAAGTGTGTTTTAGAGTTTGGCTCAGTGGTTTGGAACCCTCGGCAAACTGGCTTAGTTGGCAAAATTGAGAAAATTCAAAGATTTATTAGAACAGTTGCTTACAAATTAAACAATTGTTAGCTGCCCACTACAAATATTGAAAGCCAATGTAGAATATCCCCTCTAAGTAAAGACATAACTATAATGACTCCCTATTTATTCTTTTTTGATAATAGACTCAAGCTAAAAAGATTGTTAAATGTTTTTTAACAAATTTTACTATACTTATTGTCTATTATTATTTCTATACTTTTATTCTATTACTTTTTTTATTATTATGTTTACTATTATTATTTTTTTTTTTTTTATTGATAGTAATTTTTATTTTAATGACAATAAAGTTTGGGATAAAACAATTACTTTTTTATTGTTGGAATAAACTAGATGCCCTTATAAATCGATTTGTACAATTTGTATCTAATAAATATCTATGCAATATATAATGTCTAGTACATGTCCGAATGGAACATATATTCCATTCTTAATATATATTCTAAAACTGTAAATATATTTTTATTTATAATGTATATAAAGCAATAGTTTTTTTTCACTAATAAATTTGATTCTTATAAAATACAACATTGAAAATAATATAAAAACTACAGTAGGAAAATAAATGTCAGTCTTGGTTGCTTGGCATGTATTCTTCCTATATCATGCCTCCCATTCCACCTTCTGGTAATGGTTCATCATTTTTCGGTAATTCTACGACTGCCGTTTTATATACAATCTGAAGTAAAACGTAGTGCTGAACAAATCCGAGCACAAATTAAAGATTGCATGGCATAGTTAAAGCTTTGCGTATAATTTCAACCCCAATTTTTTGATCATCATTAGACACTATCAGTATTAATACTGTCTAAAACACTAGAACAACGGATGAGAGCAGTTCCACCTTCAGGAACAATACATTCTTCAACTGCAGCGCGAGTTGTATTTAAAGCATCATTTACGCGATCTCTTTTTTCGTTAACTTCCACTTCACTACTACCACCGACTTTTAGAACAGCTAACCTAGCAAAACGTTCTTGCAACTTCTCTTTTTCGTATAAATATTCTCTTCTCTAATCGGATGTAGTATCTTTAATTTGATCTCGGATTTGTTCAACACGACGTGCTACTTTAGATTGTATGCCTTTACCTTTTGGTAGTAGTGCTTAATCTTTGGTAATGACTACTACCTTGACCAAAATCATCTGCTTTGATATCTTTAATTTTTAATTCAGTAGTACCATCACCTGCTACGTCATTGGTGTTATTGGCCACAGCAAGTACATCAACTCCTTCAAGCATAAGTTTTCATACTTCTGCACCAAATTTTATATCCTTGGCGTGGGTTCTTGACAAGTGTTTAGCAACATTGTTTTTGGCAAGTTGAGATAAACGATACGTTTCAAATTGATATTATTTATTATTTTCTGAAAAATAGTTATTTCGGGGAGTGGTGACAGAAACGTTGAAGAATGAGAAAATTTACAATTACAAGATCTAAGCCCGTAAAAATATTCAATAACCTATAAAGTATTAACCGAATACGGAATAACGTTGCCGGCGAAACAAAAGAATGTAAAAAAATTTACATAACTGTGTATGTTTGCACTAAGATTTAGGACAGTTAATTGATATAAAAAAACATTCCTAATGGGTTCAAACTCGATCCGACCATTTTTCTCGAAATTATACTTAATATAAAATATGAAAACTCGTCAGGTCCCCTCCCACCTGATTTTAAGGGTGAAGCAGTGAATTATTCCTATTTTACCCTCTCAAAGAATCAACTTAAAAACAATTCTGCTTTATATGTAGAATCGCTACACGATGAAAAAGGTGCAGACTATAAAAAAAGCTGACATCATAGTAAAACCATTGGCTTCTAGGCTCCGCATAAAAGTTACACTAGATTCCAAGGTAAAAAAACGCGTAGCCAGACCAACAGATAAATTTTGATGCTGATGCCATATCCACATATTTGTACAGCGCGTTTTTTCCACTAATATGTAAAAAAAAATGAACTCGTGTGATCTTATTACACGTAGCCGCTTAAGAAGTTCGCACAGTATCAAGTAAAAGATCTCACGATGATGAAACTCCGTCTTGTCTTCCTAATGATTTCCAGCTGTACTTTAATGTACCATGTCACGTGTAACGTGGGTGTGTATAGGATTCCCGAGACGAGATCAAATGTGGACGTCAAGTCGATAGTGCCTGCATGTTTTATGGAAAGTGTGGATAATTACATCAAACAGAGTGGTTATCAAATCGCCAAAGAAGGACAGACACACCCAAACGAAAACCGGCAAATATTCAAACTGGTCGTCTACAAAATACTGGACGAAACGTTAAACGTACTCGGCAAATTCACAGTGTTAGTAGTGGCGATGATCGAAAGAAACAAGACTGCGACGTCACTAGAATTCATTTTAGATTATATTGGACAAAAAATGTCCAAGTTAAGTCGCTGTTTGGAATTTCTATTCAACAACAAAGCCGAAGTGTCGGATCTGTTAACCGGGTAAAAAAAAATCAATTACAATTTACTAACGCGAGCTTAATTTTGAACCTTGTAAAATTTTGAATATCGGGTTTATTAACACAGATGTTGGCCTCCTTTTTTTTCGGCACCACACGGGCTACCAATTGGTGCCAAACGTCTTGATTTTATATATTGTTATAACATGTTAGATTATTGATTAAATGTTTCAATTCGGTTACTCCGAAAAAAACGTTAGCAATTCTAATACATATATTTTTTGTTTTAATTTAAAGTAATAACAAAATAATGTTCTGATAATTATTTTCGTCATTTCTGGGTGATTGTTAAATTAATGGAAAATTTAATAAACATATAATTCATTCACATTGAATTAAAATTTGAATTTTTTTCTGTTCTTAGCGCTATAATATATCATACTTGTCAAAAGTCTAGACTACAAATAACCATAATATGTCATACCTGTCAGATGTACTGACTGACAAAAACCAATGGGCAAAAACTCATAAATCTTAAAAATCTTTATGCATAAAACCTTCACCTTTATCCGATCTCAAATTAAAATTTTTGATTTTATTTACAATTTTAGATTTTGTTAAATTGTTTAACTACAATAATAAAATAGCATAACTTTCATAAGTACCAGCTACAATTATAATCGGGCAACAAGTTATAAACGTGACACGAATAATTTGAATAAGACAATTTTTTATTGTTTACGATAATAAGTATTAAATAGTACATATTTTGTTTACAGATATATATTCTACAGCGATTTCAAGTATATCTTCAAAACCTACTACGGGGAATATTACACGTACAACAATATCGGTAATGTCATGTCTGTTCGAATCAAGGGGCAACAATGGCTGGAGTACTTGCAACGAGTGCCGGCAGAGGAAACGTACCAGCAGCTATACACGGAAGTAGAACAGTCCTTAGAAGACATTTCTAAAACTTATCAACATCTGGTTGGAAGATCCAACGAGTGGTTGTCGCCCCAGTGTTTGAAATGGAGACACTTATTTGAATCCAACTCGATGGTCGTAGATTATTTCAAGGTTACAGTTATTGACAATGAAAATCTGTATAATCATTATTTACAAATCGCGCGTGAAACTAATTCGGTAAAAGTGATGAATTTTTATGTAAACGTGGGAAAAGCACTGGACAATATCGTCCTGCAAATGGCAACCGACATGACGAATTCCTTGTTGAATCTAATATTGCGACTCATCGTAGACCTATCAACCAGAGACAACAGTTTTACACAGCTCAACCTAGCTTACCAATTGGTAGACACTTTCTTAACGTCGGTAATTCATTTCGAAAATCGGATGACTTACGGTAAACGACTTAAGAGTTCTACACAATTACTTAGCAGCCCGGCAATAAAAGTACTAGAGGATTATATTAACTATTGCAAGAACTTCAATGCAATAACCTTCCCCAACACAGAGGTGCCGTTTTTAGAACAACTCGAAAAAAGTTTCAAAAAGCATGTTCCGGGTATCGTACTTGATTTGCCAATGATTACCAAAAAACTAGTTCAAGATGGCAGCACTCAAATAAATATCATCGGCAACATGGAGAGGATTACGAAAGGAATTAATGTGATGCTCGACGACACATCAACCAAATAAAATTAATTTAATACAATTTCCAGTTTCTATTTAAATTTTAATACATATGATGTACAATTTTTTTGGCCAATTTCAATAAGTTTAAAAGTGCATTTTCAACTAGTTTCTCAACTTGTTAATCGTTTAATATTCTTTAAGTAGTAAAATTAGTTATTTAATATTTCTATGTCTGACCATGTATATAAATATTAAATAAAAACTCAGAAAAATAATAATAAAATATATAGTAATGTCTTTTCTGTTTTCAATTCATTAAAATGTGAATAGTTTTTTTTTGGTTTATACAATGAAGTTGAAGGAAACTCTCAGATAACTTTGACTTTTTAACTTAATCCGTTTTACATCTCGTACTGTATTGTGAATGAAAAAATAAAATTAAAAAAATAATAAATTTATTATGGTGGAAAATCTACCTAGCCTGCACTACTAATATACTATCGTGTAATTAAAACATGATGCAAGACTTCCAAATTTAGCTTGAATTAGGATAAGTGTAATAGAATAATTGCTTAGAGCTTAGTAGTAAGTTTTTTTTATAGTTGACTAGTTTATTTATATTTCGCAACAGGTGCCCTGTTCAGTTACCCGCACTGTCATGTAGTTCCTCTATAATAAGTTATACGTTATACATTTGCATTACCCATCTTCTAAAAGCATATGATTGTGATGAAGATAAAGTTTACAATTTTCATAAAGTTATCAAAATAAGTTTTCGAGAAATTTTACAAAAATATAGAGATTAATACCGGAAATACCTAAAATTGTACTTAAAATTAATAATATTACATCCAAATCACTTCCTCGAAGAACACCGCAGTTTAATAACAATTCACCGACATAAATGCCATTAACAGTTTGCCTTCTATTCTCCAAATAACTTTTGAAAAAATTAAGTCTTAATAGAGACACCATTAAATCCTACAGCAGTACCATTACAAATGTTGATTTAAATATATCAATTAATAATTATCAGTATGTCCAATAAACATCGATAAAAAATATTATTTTCACGCTAGTTTAAACGAAAATCTATTTACATGGATTAATGGTTAAAACCCATTAAATATTATACTTGGTGTTTTTAATTAGCATTTTACCTCCATTACCTTTTAGACTTTTTGGAATTCTTAAATATACATTTTTAAAATAGATATTTTAATCTCTTCAAATCGAAATTTGTAGATATTATCTAAGAATTACTTTACTAATTGTAAGTGCATATTTTTAAACCATTTTTAAAACATATCCTAAAAGAATAATTCCAGAATTTATTCGTATAAATCAATCTATAGATTTTCTTGCTATTACATACATTTTAACATTACATATTTTAGACAAAAAAAAAACTATTTCAGCCTTATAAAAATATTGTAAATATAATAATTGTAAAAATATCTTTCGAGACAATTCGAACATAGTTTACAATAAAAAATAAATGTTAAATATGAGCCACGTATGCCGATAATTAAATTATAACGTTAATGACTCAAATATTTGTTCAGCTTTTTTGTATAATTAATTGCAAAATTAAAAACGCATTTACGCATCATTGTTAGTACAAATGGTCGTTTAGTAAGTTCGCACAAGATCAAGTTAAGAGTTATCCGATGATGAAATTCCATTTTGCCTGCTTAGTAATTTCCAGTTGTATTTTAATATACCGTGTGACGTGTCACGAAGATGTGATTAGAGTTCCCGAGACGAGTGTAAAAATGAACGTCAAGTCGATAGTGCCTGAATGTTTTATGAAAAGTGTAGATACTTATGTCACACAGACAGGGCTTGGAACCATCAAAAGAACAACGATCAACCCGAATAGAAACCCGGGACTCTTCAAACTGGTCGTCTCCAAAGTACTGGATGAAACGATGAAACTACTCGACAAATTCACCGTCTTAGTAGTGGCGATGGTCGAAAGAAACAAGACCAGGTTGTCACTAGAGTTCATTTCGGATTATATTGAACTTCAGATTTCCAAGTTGACCCGCTGTTTAGTATTTCTGTTCGACAACGGGGCCGACGTGACGGATGCGTTGACCGGGTAATATAAATCACTTACAATTCATTAACGCCATGTAAATTTTGAACCTTATAACATTTTGAAATGTTATGACACAGCTAAATTTTGATTGTTCACATAAACAATTATTAAACACTACATGTTTACTTAACAGGTATATTTTCTACAGCGGATTTAAATATATTTTCAAAACCAACTACGGCGAAAATTACACTTACAGCAACATCGTTAAGATGTTTGATCGAACCAAGGAGCAACAATGGCTGAAGTACTTGCGACGAGTGCCGACAGAGGAAACGTACCAGCAGTTGTACACGGAAGTGGAACAGTCCATAGAAGACATTTCTAAAACTTACAAACAGCTGGCTGTAAAATCCAACGAATGGTTGTTGCCCCAGTGCTTGAAATGGAGTAATTTATTGGAATCCAACTCGAAGTTCGCAGATCATTATAAAGAAGTTATAGTAGAAGACAATGAAAATTTATATAGTCAATATTTACAAATCACGTGGGAATACGATTCGGTAAAAGTGATGGATTTTTATGTTAAAGTAGGAAAATCGCTAAACAATATCGTTTTGCAAACGGCAACCGACATGATGAATTCGTTGTTTAATCTCATATTGCGACTCATCGTAGACCGTTCAAACAAAGACAACAGCTTTACGCAGATTAACCGAGCCAATCTAATCGTGGAAAATTTCTTAACGTCGGTATTTTATTTCGAAAATTGGATGTCTCACAGTAAACGACTTAAGAGTTCTACAAAATTACTCAGTAGCCCGGCAATTAAAGCGCTACAGGATAGCGTTGACTATTGCAAGTACTACAATTCAAGAAACTTCCCAAGCACAGTGGCGCCGTTTTTAGAGCAATTCAAGATCATTTTCGTAAACCATGTTCCGGGTATCGTACTTGATTCAGCAAAGATTATCAACGGAGTAAGACAAGATTCCATCACTCAATCAAGTATCATCGATAACATGGAGAAAAACTTGGGGGTACTGAAAATGCTTCTCGAGGTAACATCATATGAGCAATGTAGTTAAATAGAAACTTGAATTTATTTTTAAATTATTTCGATGGCCTTTTCTTAAATCAAAAAGCACCATCATCTTATTTGAATAGATAAAAAGTTCAGTTTATATTTAAATTTTATCGTTACAAAAATAATGAAAATTGAAATATATATATAACCTTTTTGTCCATTTATTATAAAACAGTTTTCTAAGGTTGTTAATCGTTCGTTATTCTTTAAACAATACAATTCATTATTTTATATATTATCCATGTTAGACCATATTGTATAAATATTTTTAAAAAAATCAGATAAATTGTATTAAATTCTACTGAACCTCGTTTGATCCGACAAATGTGTCTTGATTTTTCGCTTTGATATTATTCGCAATACTCGTGTTGACTTTACATTTTGAACAAGACAGTTTTATGTTTGGCTTAAGGTATTAGTTTTTTTAATTCTTTTTATCGTACTAGACGTACAGTGTAATATAAAAAAAATTCGCGGGCGTCGCTCCAAACATTCGTTTTTGTTTAGCGTTTTGACCCATTTACCATCCTATAACAATACATTATTCTGTAATCTATATACATACATATATATTATACGCACGTATGACATAGTAGAACTTTGATGCCGATGCCTGTTGTATTTGTACAGCGAGTATTTTTTTTCAATAGAATGTAAATAGAAAAACCCATCGCTGTTAGTGTACGTTGTCGTTTGGTAAGTTCGCACAAGATCTAGCAAAAAAATTGCACAATAATGAAATTCCTTATTGCCTTCATAATAATTACCAGCTGTACTTTATTGTACCGTGTCACTTGTCACGAAGATGTGATAAGAATACCCGAGACCGGTTCAAAAGTGGACATCAAGTCGATAGTGCCTAAATGTTTCATGGACAGTGTAGATGCTCGTGTCAAACAGGAAGGGTATGCAACAGTCAAAGGAATAACGATAAACCCAATCAGCAGCCCGGGACTCTTCAAACTGATCGTCTCCCAAATACTGGATGAAACGTTGAAACTACTCGACAAATTCACCGTCTTAATAGTGGCGATGGTCGAAAGAAACAAGACCAACCCGTCGCTAGAGTCGGTTTTAGATTTTATTGAAGTTAAAATTTCCAAGTTAAGTCGCTGTTTGGAATTTCTGTTCGACAACGGGGCCGACGTGACGGATGCGTTGACCGGGTAATATAAATCACTTACAATTTACTAACGCCAGGTCAATTTTGAACCTTTTACAATTTTAAATTTGAATGCTTTATTTACATAAGTGACAAAGTTGTTATTCTCCTTTATTTGGCTTTTATGCAGGCATTCGTTTAGTGTTCAAAAACATGATTTTATATTATACTATATCATCACACTGCATTATTAATTACATTTTGACATTTTTGTGTCTTTGCTTTGGCACATAAACGGAAAAATCGACCCCTGTTATTATAACGAAAAAACCAACACCGGTTAAAACAAAACTGCTTTTAAGTGTTGCCTTTTAAATTCATCAAATTTCGTTTAATTTTCTTGTAAAAAGCAATTGCTTTAAGTGCACAGAATGTAAATCACTAAAACAACTTAATTTTAAAGTTAACACTATTCAGGGTGTCGGTGATCATTTTATCGTGAGCCAATTAATATATCATAGAGTTTAATTAAAAGTAAAATTTTTTTTTTATAATGTAATATAATAAACCCTCCCATTTTTATTGCAACTTTTGAAACATAAATCGTAACGCATACATTTCAATAGCATTTTGAATTGAGAATGATATACTAAAAATATTGCCTAGTCGATAAACAGTTTTGGATAACTACTTTTGAAGTTTCAAGTTTAGGGCAGGAGGTAAGGTAGAGTGTATTATTATTTTTATATGTAGAACATTACTTACCGTGTTTCCCCTCCCATCATAACTTTAAACTACAAAACTGGTTATGGAGAATTAGCTAAAATTTGTTAACT